ATGCTCAACCAAGATACTACCACTAACATGGATAAACAAATAAAAGATTTCTGGAAAACAATGAAGGAGGAAATGGCAGCGCAAACAAGGGAGATAACCGAAACAGTCACTAAAAACGTTTCAGAAAGTATTAACGAAAAATCAACTGCTCTTGTAGAAGAGAATAAAAACCTGAAGACGGAAGTCAAGATCTTACATGAAAAAATCAAGCAAATGGAAGAGCACAGAAGGAAAAACAACATCGTGTTCATTGGAGTAAAAGAGGTACAACATAATGAGTCCCTAGTAGAATCCACCATAAAATTGCTAGAAAAAAAAACATGAATATACACATCGATTTACATGAAATAAATAACGCTTATAGACTAGGAGAAAAGAAAGATAGTAAACCACGTCCTATTCTTGTAACCTTTACAACAAACTGGAGGAGAAATGAAGTACTCAAGAACAAAAAGAAACTGGATTCAGGAATCTACATTAAAGAGGATCTCAGTAAAAAAAACTCTGGAGAAGAGAAAGCAACTTATGCCCCAACTAAAGGAAGAAAGGGCAAAGGGCAACATCTACAAAATAACAGATATTGCCCTTGTTAAAGATAAAATTGTCACTAAAGAACCGAAACAAGCAAAAAAAGATAAGAGGAAAAGAGATTTCACCGATTCTCCAGACAAATTGCCAAACCAACCATCCACGTCAACTCCAAAGAAGATAAATAAAACAAACATGCTAGACTACGTGGCACAGGGTAGATCCTCGTCACTGTCATTACCTACAACCAAAAAAAAAAAACGACCAATAGACACCGACAACAGGAAACACAAATTAACCAACAAAAAGTATCTACCCAACGAAACAACCAGAACACTCACCCCAAGACGGCTGGTCACCGCGGGGAAACGCGACCACTACCCTCCAAACACTACCCTCCTGCCTGAAAAGAATGTTTTTGAAATGAGGATACAAAACACCAAACACCATACCAAGGAAAAGAGCCTACAAGAACTTTTACATTCTTTAGAAGATATTAAATGGGACATTATTGGCTTGAGCGAAGTAAGAAGTAATGGTGAAACTATTGCGGAATACAGCCAGTTCATATTGTATTACAAAAGTGAAACACCAGGAAGACATTGAGTGGGATTCTTAATCAAGAAAGAATTTAAAAACTTTATTGTGGAAATAAATGGTATATCCGAAAGAATTGCTATATTGAATATAAAGATCCCTTCTGACAAAGAAATATGGTCTATTGTGCAAATTTATTCACCAACTGAGCAATCTACTACTCTAGAAATTGAGGCATTTTACTCGTCTCTTAATACCGCCCTTAAAAAACACGCCAATAAAAACTGCATTATAATGGGTGATTTTAATGCACAAGTTGGGGCACCAAGGAACGGAGAAGATATCGTACTTGGCCTTTACAGTAGTGGAAAAATAACAATAAATGGACAAAAACTAATGTAAATGGCTTTTAAAACAACATGAAAATACTAAACAGTCAATTAAAAAAAAAAGCTTTTAGACGGTGGACATGGGCATCGCCAGATGGAAGCTACAGAAACGAAATAGACTACATTCTAACTAACAGGCCCAAATCATTTGACGACTGTGGCACTATATCAAACCTCAATTTCAATAGTAACTATAGAATGCTTAGAGCATGTCTGAACACATCATCTACTCTAAAGTTAAAGAGGCCCTTCAAAGTAAAACCAACAACATCGAACAACAAAGCAAGAATAGCCACCATCAAAGAAAATCTCAACTCTGTCACAGAATCATCTCTTCAGCACTTAACCACTTAACAGAAATACAATATACTACACGAAATACTAACAGCAAGACCAAAATCCAGCACTGAGTGCAAAACGAAGGATAAAAGACATTTATCTGAAAAAACAATTGAACTCCTAGAGGAAAGGTCCAAATTAATTAATACCTTAAGCAAAACGAAATTCCTCCGGGAGCAAATAGGCAAACTGAGCAAAGAAATAAAAAACCAAATGACAAAATATAGAGAACATTTTAGACTCGAGACTTTTGAAAAACACATTAGCAAGACTACTAGGTATAAAAACTACGACTAAAAGACTAAAAGGTCAGACATATTATCAATAGCTACAAACTTCTACGAAAACTTATATTCTAGCAAAATACAAGTAGACAATACTGATTTAAATAACAACAATAGTGTGCCACCCATTCTAGCAGAAGAAATAAATAAAGCAATTGAAACACAGAAGAAAGATAAAGCTCCTGGCCTGACGAGATCAACAACGAATTGCTTTTAGACTGCAAATACTACATTGCACCTTTACTAAAATACATTTTCAACGATATACTCTACAACGAAGAAATTCTAACACAATGGACTACATCAACGATTATCCTGCTTCACAAAAAAAGGCGACAAAGATGAAATAAACAACTATAGACCCATTAGTCTAATTTCCAATATTTATAAAGTCTATGCAAAAGTAATCCTATCACGAATAGCCAGAACTGTAGACGAAAATCAGCCCAGAGAGCAGGCCGGCTTCAGGACAGGATATTCAACGCTAGATCACATACATGCTGTAAGACAAATTTTTGAGAAGAACAAAGAATTAAATGTACCATTCTACTGCTGCTTTATCGATCATAACAAGGCATTCGACTGAATAGAACACGAAAATATCTGGCACTGTCTGAAGAACCAAGGCGTCGAGCATAAGTACATAAGAATTCTAAAAAACGTTTACACCAACATTACAGCTAGGATAAAATTAGAAAAAGAGGGAAAATAAATAAAAATAAATAGAGGCGTACGTCAAGGAGACCCGCTATCATTTATATTATTTACAGCTGTACTAGAAGAAATCTTTCACATACTAAAATGGGACCAGTATGGACTAAACATAAATGGAGAAAAACTAACCCACCTACGCTTCGCCGACGATATTATATTATTCGCCACAACAAAAGAGCAACTACAAAACATGCTCGTAGACCTGGTAAAAGAAAGTCGCAAGGCAGGTTTAACAATGAACGCTTCTAAAACCAAAGCCATGACGAATGCACACGAAGACACTATTATCATAGATGGCAAGCCGATTGAGTATGTGAAAGAGTACACATATTTAGGACAACAAATCTCAACCATCGACATAATGTCAAAGGAAATTGACACTAGAATTGGGAAAGCATGGAAATGTTACTGGCAGCTAAAAGAAGTAATGAAAAATACAGAAATTAAGATGTCCGTCAAATCAAAGCTTTACAACACCTGCGTGCTGGTAGCACAGGTCCTAACATATGGCTGCCAAACTTGGGCACTTACTAAAATGCAAAACAAAAAACTAGAAACCTGTCAGACAGCAACGGAGAGGAGCCAGGTCTACGAGCATGCTGAATATAAAAAAATCGGATAGAATAAGGAACAGAATTATTAGGAAACGGAAATGGGCAGGCCATATATTTAGAGGCATTGAGAAATGGAACAAAAGCATTGTATTTTGGTTCCCAAGAAATAGAAAAAGAAAACGAGGTAGACAGTTTCGAACAGACGAAATAAAGGCCACGGTAGGGAAACATGGACTAGGAAAGCAATGAACAGAACACTGTGGAAAGAAATGGAGAAGGCCTTTGCCAAAGTTGGGCAAACAGACCAAGTTGTTGGTGTCATCGACTAACCAGAGTCGTGAATATAAGATTTATGTTAAAAATGTATCTGAATAAAGGCTTATATTATTATATTATTATTATATAATTTTTTATGCTGGTGGAGATTGAACAAGGTGTGATCGCCTACTGTTAAATTTTACCGCAAGGCTGAGGCCTTTAAGCTAAAAATATAATAATTGCCTATTTATTGGGCATAAGATTTCTTTTATGTCGACGTAAACCAGCTGTAACTTTTTGACTTTATCTTGATTAGAAAGAAGTAGATAAAAGAAGTCACATAATATCATTCCATATTTTTAATTCCGCACAGCTATGATGCTATGAGTTGATGGATTTAAAAGTATGAACCCTATCGACATGCAATAAAATACAGTCTTTAAAAAGAGAGGTCATTTTATATAAGTATATAAAAATGATATTGGAGAAATGAAACATTCATAGCATAAAATATTATTTTTATATAACTATATTTTGGAATTATGCAAACAAATATTCTATGGAAATACGATCCGTACAAAAGTAAAACACCATTAAAAAAAAGTTCGAGTGCTGAAGTATTGAGTGATTGAAACTAGCTCGAGCTCTTAGCGTTTCACAGGCGGTTAATTGGATACAACCTTTAAAACTACTTCAGGAGCTTGCTCTATATATTTTAATGGATATTTCCTTAATGCTTTTTAAGATTATTTAATAGTAGTAAAAAGATCAAACGTTTTTTTCTCGGGCACTAAAGTTAACGTTTGTGCTCTTTTTTAAACAAATCTCAATACACCTTTTCCTGCTATCAATGAAAAATCATAAAAATGATTTTAATTATATTTGATTTTCATAAAGTTGTACCGTTAAAAATAAAAAAATAACCAGATATTCTTCAAACCGGAGTGTGCCAAAAAGGTGTATTGAGATTTGTTCAAAAAAGAGCATATATATATAAAATTTTTTGAAATCTCTACACACACTCCTTTGAAGAATATCTTATTAACTTAAAGTGCTAAATAGTTATATATATATATATATATATATATATATATATATATATATATATAACTATTAAACGTGCATAGATGAGTGTGTTTGGTAGCACTTTTAAGTGTAACCAGCATACTGAACTTCATGTCTTAGTGTATTAGCGCTATGATACGTGGAGCTTTGTTCACTGGCGCCTTAGTAGCGTACTACTATAATACGTCGCCCACAAACGGTATGGGTGTGCGATGTCCACGGGAACGCCGTATTGCTACAACAATCCCGCTTACCACCCTCACTAGGATGTTAATTGTATACCTCCATCGACCAGAACCACAAGAATGCGTCGAATCAGGCGCAGCACACCCGCAGATCCATCACAAGACGCAATACCGCAAGTAGCACTAAGCATCAATGCAACTGTCATACGGGTGGCGCCCCCTCACAACACACCCACATGACCCCTATCGATTTTGGTAACAAAGTATTTATTGTTGTTATATAAAAAATATTACCAACGCACGCTACTAAGACGCCAATGAACAAAACTCCACGTATCATAGCGCTAATGCACTAAGACATGAAGTTGAATATGCCTGTTACATTTAAAAGTGCTACCAAACACACTCATCATCCCAATCCGAAAGATAGACGAGGCATCACTATGCGCTACTAAACTAATTAATATAAAT